CGTAAAACTAAACTCACTCACTCACACATCATAACGTTATTATAGATGAGCTGTATCTGCATATATCTTCATCGTTTGACCCGTCATCTCTCCATATACGTTTTACCTAAATTATTTATCTACAACTGGTTTACTTGTATTTATCTGATATCTTCTCTTTATCACCCTTTAAATATATGACCTTGAATATATTTACAGCCCGTCGGTCTCTGTTGATTTGTACATCCCTCTTATAATTCATTCTCACTTGAAGTGGGTCCAAAGAGTACCACGATCACACCCTGGGAACGTGGCGGTTTTGTTCAACGTGGCTCCATTCTCTTGCTCTGTATATGTGTTCAACTATAGCTATCGCGATCAAACTCTTAATCTTTGTTCCCCTTTCTCTTCAACTTATATTCTCCACCCTTCGCGTTCCTCCTCTTGCTGACAATCTTAATAGTGTTCCACTATTATTGTTCTTCTCCTGGTTGTTTCCTCTTTCTGTGGTATATGTTTCAGTTCATCTTCTGACACTCTATCACTCCTACACCTTCCTCCTTCAACTTCTGGCTGGCTTCTTACTCCTGCATGTTCCCCTGGCTGGTGTGTTCCTAGTCTCTCGTACAGACCCTGACGCAAATATATCCAAGAAATCCCACGCAAGTCTAGAAAATGTGGCAAGTCTAGATTTCCACAGCTTCAGGGTTTCTGAAAATGAAGAAAGTCTCAGGGCTCCTTTTCATTATTTTTATTTTTTTACTATGAACTTTTATTTCAGTAAAATGTGTTCATTTCAGAGACTAGTTGTTAGTCTAGCGTGTTCCTAATGCCTCTTCCTCTGCATGGATGGCGTGTTCCTCCTTCTGCCTGGCGTCTTCCTTCTTCCTCTAACTGTTGTGTTCCTCCAGCCAGCCTGGATATGGCGTCCCTCTATTATCGTCCTGTTTATTGAGTTCCTCTTCCTGTCTGTTCCTCTGGCTTCTTCCTCTGGCTGTTATGTTCCTCCAGCCAGCCTGGATATGACGTCCCTCTATTATAGTCCTGTTTATTGTGTTCCTCTTCCTGTCTGTTCCTCTGGCTGGCTAGCTTCTTCCTCTGGCTGTTATGATCCTCCAGCCTGCCTGGATATGGCGTCCCTCTATTATAGTCCTGTTTATTGAGTTCCTCTTCCTGTCTGTTCCTCTGGCTTCTTCCTCTGGCTGTTATGTTCCTCCAGCCAGCCTGGATATGACGTCCCTCTATTATAGTCCTGTTTATTGTGTTCCTCTTCCTGTCTGTTCCTCTGGCTTCTTCCTCTGGCTGTTATGTTCCTCCAGCCAGCCTGGATATGGCGTCCCTCTATTATAGTCCTGTTTATTGTGTTCCTCTTCCTGTCTGTTCCTCTGGCTGACTGGCACCTTCCTTCTTCCTCTGACTCTTATATGTTCCTCCTGCCAGCCTGGATATGGCGTCCCTCTATTATAGTCCTGTTTATTGAGTTCCTCTTCCTGTCTGTTCCTCTGGCTGACTGGCACCTTCCTTCTTCCTCTGACTCTTATATGTTCCTCCAGCCAGCCTGGATATGGCGTCCCTCTATTATCGTCCTGTTTATTGTGTTCCTCTTCCTGTTTGTTCCTCTGGCTTCTTCCTCTGGCTGTTATGTTCCTCCAGCCAGCCTGGATATGACGTCCCTCTATTATAGTCCTGTTTATTGTGTTCCTCTTCCTGTCTGTTCCTCTGGCTGGCTGGCTTCTTCCTCTGGCTGTTATGTTCCTCCAGTCAGCCTGGATATGGCGTCCCTCTATTATAGTCCTGTTTATTGAGTTCCTCTTCCTGTCTGTTCCTCTGGCTGACTGGCACCTTCCTTCTTCCTCTGACTCTTATATGTTCCTCCTGCCAGCCTGGATATGGCGTCCCTCTATTATCGTCCTGTTTATTGAGTTCCTCTTCCTGTCTGTTCCTCTGTCTGACTGGCACCTCCCTTCTTCCTCTGACTCTTATGTTCCTCCTGCCAGCTTGGATATGGTGTTCCTCTATATCGTCACTTTTATTATTTTTCTCCTTTCTTTTCTCCTGTATAGTCGTCACATCGAAGGCCCAGGTCCAATTCCTCACCGACGTGACATAGCAAAAACACGGTGAAAAACATCTTTCGATTATTCATTCCTTTGGCTGTCGTTTATTTTTCTGTTTCGCAAACGTGTTCCCCCTTTTCTTCTCAAACTCCTTTTATCCTTCTTTCCGACATCTCTCCTGCGTTGGTGGTGCTTTCAATGATTCACCCCAACCAGATAGTTATTTCATCTATTCTGTGACTATAAACATCCTTTCTTTGAAGTAGGAAAGTCGAGCGACCCGAATGTTTACGGATTTATCTACCTCCAGTATCCAACTTCAGTCAGGCTCCGGACGAACTGCCAAGAACAATAGATATAGGACTCCCCAATTTATCTGCGTCACAGATACAGCTCCCAGATCAATCATGCCAAATCAGAAACGGTACATCATCACTGCACGAGATTTCTCTTTCACTCTCACCTGCAAGATACGAAGAAATTGGACTCGCAATTCCTTTCCTACTTTTGATAACCGTATTCGGATTTTATCTCCACAGAGTTGTTTCTTCTTGTGTTCCAAAACACATTACTATCGTGTCAAGGGCTGGGTTTCACTTTAGTTGATAGTGTCTGCACGTGAGAGCAGACGACAATTTGTCCCGACCTTCAGGATGAATGGATTTGTCTGAAAAAGAAGATAACTTTATCACTGGATCCCGGGAAAAGTCTTGAGTTCATAGTCCGGTTTTTGGCTGAAGCTACACTGTAAAAATGACTGTTTATACCTAAAACGCTTATTTGTCCTACGTTTTTAAACACCGTTATGTGTTTACTATCTAAACAATGTTTATGTCATAAACAAGTGTTTACCAACTAAACAATGGTTTAGTGTCTAAACGGTACTGCTGTTTACAATTTAACCACTTAATTCTTTTTAACAAATGTCTCACCTTTTTAAACAGCGAAGGGTAGATCTAAACATATGTGTTTATTTAATATAAGACCATTTCATGTTATTGTTTAACTTAATAGGTCATAAATGTTTAAAACGTTAACACGACATGTTAACAATAACACGTTAATAACATGTTAATAATAAAAGGGACCGTTTATAATTTATGGCTTGGGGTGGAGGGTGGGCGTGGGGGGTGATGATTTTTATGGAGAAGCATGTACAATGTGAGTGACCCCCTAAAATTTATGTATAAAGTAAGTGACCCCATAAATAATGAACGGTCCCTAAACACCTATTTTTTTCAGTGTAATTAACATACAAAGACGACAAACAAACATGTTGTTTACATGGAGGCGATTAATGGCTTTGGTGGACTCGATGGTTTGTTGAAATGAGAGAGAGACTGTACTTACATATAGAGATCCGGGTGGATGTTAACGCATAACTGGCTTGTGGCCTAAATCGCTGCTGTATCTATTGAGGATATAAATACCGCACACACGCCTGTAAGCGAGTCGCTGTAAGGCAATCATCACCCGATGTAATGCTATAATTCATGTCACACGTACCTCCCACTGTCAAGGTTATTAAGTGAGTGAGTGAGTTTAGTTTTACGCCGCTTTCAGCAGTATACCAGCAATATCACGACGGGGGACACCAGAAATGGGCTTCCCACATTGTACCCATGCTAGCCCACCGCCCTGGCTATTAAGACCACACATACATTAAATTTGTTATTTTTTGAGTGAGTGAGTTTAGTTTTACGCGGTACTCAGCACTATTCCAGCTATATGGCGGCGGTCTGTAAATAATCGAGTCTGGACCAGACAATCCAGTGATCAAGAGCATGAGCATCGATCTGCGCAATTGGGAACCGATGACATGTGTCAACTAATTAAGTCAGCGAGCCTTGTAATTTCTACTGTGATCATCCTTCCTTCTCATATTGTATGTTTATTGAGATCACACCTTCGTTGCCATATTGTAATGTTTATTGAGATCACACCTTCGTTGCCATATTGTATGTTTATTGAGATCACACCTTCGTTGCCATATTGTAATGTTTATTGATATCACAACGATGTTGCCATATTGTAATGTTTATTGAGATCACTATTCCTTCTCATACTGTAAAGTTTATTCATTTGAGATCACACCGTCTTTGTCACATTGTATGTTTATTAAGATCACACAGTCGTTGTCATAGTGTAATGTTTATTGAGATGACCTCTCAGACATGAAAAATTACTTCATACTGCAGTATCTATTAAGTCATTTGGGAAATGGTATACCACAAATATCTAATCGTTAAAATAAGAATACATGCAGTTTTTATCCTTACACCTACGAAAATACTGCGTAGAAAAATACTACAAGCATATTTTTGGTCCATAAATAGATCTAAACCACTATAAATAGACGCTTTTCGCTTTATCGACTATCTGATTGTGGAAATTGTTGTCATCATGCGCGCTAGTGAGAAGTGTAAATCGCATCTTATGTGTCAGTTGAAATGTTATCAACTCGATCTAACCATCCGGCTTGTATGTGTCTTTCTGATGTGCAGTGCACATGAAAAGTATCGCGTGGCTTTCAGAAAAAAACACGTTTTGATTTATATTAGACAGAAACCAGTGTCCGTTGCGCTTGGGGATTACATATATCATATCTTATTTCAGAATATAAACAAACGTGACATGATCTAAAAATCGTCCCATTTAATTATCGGTGGGCGTTTTCCTTAAGGCGATGCTCTAACTCAAAACCATTGTCGGTAGAAAGCGAATCGCAAAGTGTACACATAAGTGGGCGTGGCACCATGTACACGCTAGTACCGCTCCGTCAGCTGTTATCAAATGAACGATGCCACAGTGTGTGACCTCTGACCATGTAGACGAAGTGAGATAAAGTTACTGTGAGTTATGAAATGGAATCAGTCAATTAACTAAGCGCAGCGGGACGGTCGTGTTCGGGCTAAATAGAGACAGTTGACTGATCCCGTCTGTGTTTTCTTATGAACACGTGATCGTAAGGCGGGCGCGTGCTCCAGGTAACTGAATGTAACGGAAACGCTGATTGGTCCCTTTGCCACGCTTGCGCACAAGTACCCACGGGAATATACAAGGGACATATTCGTACAGGTGCGAAGTGTGAAATAGGTAAACTTAATTTCTTTTCACAAATGAGTGAAAATGAAAACTTTTTACTGTGGTTCTGATTGGATTATGTGAAGTTGATCCGTGGATTTTGTTTTACAAATGATTGTGATATTTCTGGAGGTTTTACCCGAGTTGGCGGTTGTCCGACGACCGACATGTCATGCATGATCACTGTTGAAGCGACGAGACTCCCTCCGATAATCTGAATGAAAAAATAAAGTCAACAAGCTGGAAATGGGGAAGGACCTAGATATTATACAAGCTGTTAAAGAGCAGGATATAAGCTCTCTACAGAAGCTGCTCCAGAAGGCCGGGAAACTCGCTAATAAAAACAGTAAGTCACTTTACTAACAGCGCAACATGTGTTGATCTATTTATAGTGCTCGTCTACACTATTTTGCTGTTCAAGGTTTTGACTACCAGCTTGTCAAAGCTGGTCAGTTGTCATCGCAAGGGTTGTCACAACTTGCATGTATTTTGATATAACCTCTGTAATCACTCTGTCGAACTTGTACACTCTGCGTGAACTTTGTAATTCGCATCTGCTGTCAACCCCAATGAAGTTTTCTAGCAGTGATGCAACTGATATTGATAGCAACACCTTTGCACTATTAATCATCGCAGACGAGTGTTTTTACACGTCGCATATTGATTAGGCTGTTTGTTTAATCAGTTCAGTGAGTCACGTAACTGTTGAGATAAATAGTTAGGTGTAGTGTTTCAAGTAATGCAACATTATTTTAGAGAGGTTTCAAAACATGCCGTTTTCATGTTTTGAAATTTATTAGTGCATATCAAGTAGGGTTTATAGGGAAACCTGTATGTATTTATCCTGATATTAACCCAAAGAACTTCCCCAATGTAACCACTTTACTTTGCACATTATCGCTAAGATAAAGAAATATCTAAGTGCAAAATAAACAGAAAAAGCCCAAGCTCCATCTTTGATTCCTGTATTCCTTGGATACTCTCATCAGCTGTCAAGATGGAAGCCAGGTATGAAACCTTGTCACTGTTGAAATCTGTCAGGAAAGGTTCTTTAATCAAATATATTTATCATGTGTTTGTTTAGGTTGATAGTGTTAATAGGATTATTAGTTTCATTTGACCTGAGGCCTTAATTGTGACCCATTTTATGTACAAGTACTGTACAGAGTTAATAACTTAATAACACAAACACGAAAGAGTAAATAAGTATTTGACAATATAGTTGATGTGTGTAAAAAAATCCCCAGTAAAACAACTGCTGCTCATATTTAGTATGCAATATGTATAATTGTATTCTTGTTACCATTTCACTTATAGGTGAGTGCATTGTTAAACAACAAACAAAGAAATAAAATACCATTTTTTCTTGTCCATAAAGTTAGCCTAAACACCCAAGCATAATGTGCAGCCCCCTCTAACAAAGCATGGTATCTCAGTGAGCTAGCACTATAGAACCAGCTTAAGTCTGGGCTAGTACAAGCAGCCGCACATACACATAGACACGCATGCACGTCACCATATAAGCAAAATATTCTCAAGCACAACGTAAAACCCAATTTCACCTCACCTCTAACAAAGCTGCATTTTGGAGGGGAAGGTGCAGACTGTACAGAAGAAAATATGGTATGCTTTATTAGGCTCCCGTGTATATTTAATTTTTTTATCCAAACGTCTTTATTACAGGACATATGTCATTTGCAGATATGTAATGATGTAGTTCATGTTAATATATTTCCATCTTTTATCTTATTTAGAAAAGAAGTTAATAGCATGTAGAGTTTTGTACAAACCTTGTAGCAGATACTTGTTTCAACAATGAAAGATCAGGCCTGCAGAAGTTATCCATCAGTCTGCTTCTACCTGGGAAATGTTACAATGCACGTAGAACATCCTCAGTTTTTCTTGCACACATAATCTATGCAACATATTTGCTATGACAGAAAACATGTCCAGACTGTCTAGGTACGTCTGGTGATGATAAACACTGCACTGCTACAACTGAATTACAATGTGGTGACTAGCTACTGCATATGAGGGGCAAGAAGTATGTATCACATGCAGAATCTTAAACCAGAGTTCCTTTATGACGAATCTAGGATTGTGATGATATACATAGTAGTGAAAGTGAACTCAGAATTTGTTCTGGCTTCTAAAAACTGTGAAGATATATGGAAGGCCTTATATTACAGGAAAGAAAACATGTTTGCATTTTGCTTCATGTTATTCTAGCCGCTTTTGAATAGCTTCTGTAGATTGTACAAGATAGGAAAGGTATCATGTTTTTTTGCCTCACAGGGAATGTAAATGTCAATGTTGATTTAATGATACTCATTGTGTGTTTGTTTTCTTTGGTAGCTGTGATTATGTATAGACAACAATTCATTGGAAATACAGGAAGATAACTGTAATCAATTGCAGGTGTAACTCAGTTTGCAGTTAATCATAGAGGAATCATTCATCTTCTTGTGGTAAGATTACCTAATGAAACAGAGAAGCCTTCACAAAATATTTCTTTGTAGACAAATAGTGCGATGTACAGAATTAATTGATATTCTTGAGAAGAAGCATGGTATTAAATATGTATGTTCTTGAACACACTAACAAAAGACTAATCAGTAATGACACATCTGTTAGTTTTTAAATACTTCAATAAGTCCCTGGAAGCTTTTCTTGTTTAATAAAGGATATGTATTTCTTATAATCATGATAATCAGTTTGAAAAGCATAACAGCTGACAAGATTTGACAATGTATGGTGACTGAATTCAAGCTTAAGATAATTATTGTAGTGTTTCTACCTGTCAATGCACAAAATCATAAAATCTTGTTCGTGCACAAATTCAGAGAATGTCCAAGATTAGTGTAAATACCAGGAATAAGCTGATTTCTCTTGAAATCTTCTTTTGAAGTTGTAGTCCAAATTGAGCTGTGGATTGGTTGGATTTTACTGATGGTGTCTATCCCAGGACTAAATAGACATATCATGATGTCAGCTCTTAACTGGCAAGTGTCAGGTTATAAGTCAGTATCTAAGTAAACAACTGAGGTACCAACCTGCTGAAGGGCAGTTGGGTAGCCTAGTCGTTAAAGCGTTTGCTTGGCACACTGAAGACTAGGGTTCAATTCCACAATTTAGGAAGCCCATCTGCAGGCCATGATATTGATGGAATACTAAACTCAGGGGTGGAAATAACTTTAAAACTGTTGGTGTACTCCGGTACAGTGGCACATGTAAAATCACTTGCCCTGATAATTTTTCCTCTATACCAGCCGATTTTCTTGTTGACTTTTAGATAAACAACATAATTAACATTGGAAAGTCAACTGGACATTGGTACAGCGTGATATATAAATTTGCTTGCCCAACTGGAAAAAACACTAGACTCGGACGTCGATCAATTGGTTATTTCCACCCCTGTAAACACTAAAACAGCATAAAAACATGCTCACTTATTCTCAGTTACCTAATTGCTGATTGGTGAAGGGTCTGTTTTGGACATTAAATATTTGTATTTCCTTGTTTGTTCTTCATCCAATATTTGTATAAATCATTAAATCTACTGTACATTTTGTGTATAAACCAACACATTGGGATTTTGTGCATAGCCAACACTTTCAGATTTTCTGCATTGACAACTGGGAACAAGGAAAATAGTTAATTTTTGCCTGGATTCAGTTATCAGATATGTCAATCTAATCAGCTGTTATGCCTTTCGGGAAGATTACATGGAATAAAGATCACATTTAAAAAAGATAAAGCCCCTCAAGGACATATTTAAAAATTTATAGTCTTCATTCAAACCTGAGGGTTAACCTTGAAACAAATCACGTTAAATGATTTTTGAAGATTGTTGAAATATGGATCCAGCTGAATACAAAGAAGGATGATGGAGATGGCGGGAAGCTTGACGAAGATGGTTAGGAGCATGATTGACATGAGAAGTGAATACATTACATATATATGTGCATGTTTCGCATACAAGGGACTGTTTTACAGCTGCTTTACATGTACTGTAGCTTTAAGCCTGTAATGCATACTTCGTGGCGGCTTGATCTTTTAGGCAGGGGAATACCCTTTGGCATTTTGTAATCATTTGTGAGTAACATTCCCCCTTTGTGGTGTTTATCACATGACAGTTACATCTGACTGGTGATTGATCATGTATCCTATTGGATCGGATAGTGTAATGTAGGTGTAATGTACATGCAATGGTCATCAGAGATCAGGGTATTGATGATGCTGTGTAAGGCTAATAAAGAGATGGATGCTGTAATTATGTGTGTAGGGAGGCAGTGTTGAAGAAACGGGGCATCAAAGAGAATTTGTGATGACATGAACTGAGTTTAACAAACGTGTTGTGCAGTAATCAGATTTGCATTCACCATCGTAGCATTAGGTATCCCTGGATCGGATTTCAGTGGTGGAGATCTGGATAATGTTGTCATGTATTTTTGATAAGTTTCCTTTTTGGTGATCCTTCATCCAAGCTACACGAGAAGGCTCCCCGCTGTCATTGATGCAATTTGAAATGTCTGCCTGTTTGTTATGAGTTAAATAGTTTCTTCATGATGAATGTATACCTGTCATCACGTGCTTATACTCATTCCAGCTCTGAGAAAAGTATGAGAATCTACATGGAAGTTTTGCAAGTGCATTAAACCAGAAATAAATATTATCAGACTTGTAAATTTTGTTTTATTTCGTTTTTGTTGATCATAAAAAACTAACTTGAGAATGTGAACCCAGTTTATTTTAGTTGTTTTGACCCAGATACACCATCAAATGAGGTCTCCATTCAAATTTCTTTCACAAAAGAATTTTTTTCCATCCCAGTTGTAAAGACAACTAACTGTTTCATGGCACCCTAACTGTTTTATGACCTATATGTAGTAATACAATCTTTCTTCCATGAAAGAACATTATGTCTGTTGTGAAAGTCTTGGTAATCCTAACTGCCTGTGCCAGGGAGTGGGGATCATTTTTTTCACAGAGAAATGATGAGATTCTAGCAGCTGGAATATTTCAGGTGCTAAGGAGGAGGCGATATGCTTCCATGATAGCCAGGCTTTGATACCAGCTAATTTGTTGCAGGGAGAAATAGACAATTGTAAGAAGATTCCTATAAAAGCTGTCTTCTCTTTTTTGAAAGCTTAGCCCTTTTTTCCATAGCGTTTTGATCTGGTAAAAAAATTCAAAGAGGAGCAGCCTGTTTATGTGTAGACATAATCTGTTAATTTTGATTTTTTTTACCCTAATTTCAATATTGTATGTTTATTTTATGAAAAGAAATTTGCGGTCAAATGTCTTGATTATCTTGAGTCAAAGTGTCAAATTTGTCTGTGTGGT